ACTGCTTTATCTGGGTAACTGTTAGATCAAGAGTTTTCTCAAAAATTTCTTTTTTTTCTAGTGTACTGCAGCATATAATTTAAAAAAAACATGTAGACCTAACGAAAACTTTACCGAGTACAAGACAGAGACAATTCTAAAAGCTCAGAAACCACGACATATAAGAACTAGAAAGAGCTAGAGTGAAGATTGCCTCATATAACTCTGCAGAATAATAATTTGTTAATATTATTTAAATAGAGTACAACTTTGGTAGCAATTTATCAAGGTTCAAAGCATATGGGATATTTGTAGCTGCCAGTTGCGGCCTCCAGAAGCGGCTTCAATGATTCCGCCACTGTAAAATGCATGAAATTACTGTAAAAATAGTAAGTTTTTTTTAGTTTTACATCCTAATCCGGCTAGGGCTAGTAGCTCTCAATACCAAAAAGTCGCCACCTCCAAATTTTGACATGTTGTAGAGGGAAAAATTCAACACAAAATGTATCTTTTTAAAAAATTTAAAAACACGTTTTTTTTTCATGTTTGTTTGAAATTTTATTTTTATTGTATCTTTGTGCGTTTTTATCGGAATTAAATTATTCATTATTCTTTCAAAAGTCCAAGTCATGACAAATACGTCAAATTAAAAACCGTTGAGTTCTTCAAATTCCGTCAAGAATAGGTTAAATTACAAGCCTTTAAAGATAGGCATTTTAAGCGGCAACCTGGCAAATTTTGCAACTTTGAAGAGGTGTAATTTGGCGGGGAATTCACTCTTCCAGGTTTTCTTTGCGGCTTTCATTATGCTGATCTAGACTCTACTAATCAGCAAAAAATGAAAGATATTTCAGAAGTCGATGTTCAAAGGTGCAGCGATTTGGCATGAATTGGCCCCAACTAGTTTACAAGTTTTCTGCCTGAGACGGAGGTAGATCAAGTGTATAACCACAGTTTTGCTTGGTAAATCGTATCTTTATTTTGACCTAACCTATAATAGAATAAATAAATTAAATATTGAAGATTTTAAAGAAATTTATTGCTTACTCTTAAATAGATTGTAAAAGCTAGGTGTAACTAAAATCAGATACAGTTTACCTAATGTTACTTATACACTACACAATTCCTGCCAAATTCTTAACTTTTAAAAGCGGTGATTTTTCATCCATTTAATAAGCATTAATCTTCTACGCTTCATACAGTAATGAATCCCACTATTTTAGCATTTGTATATTGAGACAAAAAGTGTTTCAATAAAATTAAAAATTGTATCTTAGCAGTGAAATAGTACCAGATTTTATTTGTTGGTTTTACTATCGACAGAAGCAAGTTTAACTGTCATAATATGTTGGTGAACGTTAACTGCTCATTTGTTTATCTACGGCTTTTCAAAGTTTTCTCTTCCGTATTACTTTTGAAAGTAACCAGTTTCTTTTAGGAAAAAATTTTTAGTAACGTTGAAGTGCATTTACAATTTCTCCATTTCAAGTGATCTAAATTCGCAATTATATCGATCTTCAAATTTGCAAACTGTTAAATGCAAAATTTCGTAACGCAACATTTTTGATCCATTATCAAGAAATATCTTTCTTTTGAAACGCTTACAGTCATTTCCTTTGGTAAAAATGCTGCAATGTTTGTAGATTTGTGCAGGAAATTTGTCACCAGCCAAGCGCATAAGTTTTTTTTTTTGTAAAACTTTTTCAATTTTCAAAATTTCGTGGGTACAACAGTCTTTATTATCCAATTTTGCAGTGCCACACCTTATTGACCTTAGACGGAAATATGACACTCATTATATTTGTTTGTAGTTTAATTTTACTGGTTATGTTGCGTCAGTTCCTATCATTGCCACAAGTAAAAGTGCCTAAATGTTTGCCTTTTGTTGTAATAACGGTGAAACTTAACTTAACTAAGCTAAAATCAAAATGTTATTCTTCGCACAGAATACGACTAATGCAGATGATTAGTATTTGATCGGTTGTTGTAATCTCCAAGAAAAAAAAAAAAAAAAAAAAAAACTCAAGCAAAATCTCTCTTTCAAAAGCAGTAGTGCTGTGAAAATCTCTGCCGAATTATCAGGCCCTGAAATTAATAAAGCAAATTAAAAAAGTTTTAAAAAACACTTCTGAATTAATAATTTGACTTATTATCAGTTGGTTTCTTCTTATTTACCTAGCTTATCACGATACTATTTTTTAACGTTCGGTGGTTAACAGTTCAAAGGAATGGTAAAAAGGGTTTTTTGTTTGCATGTTTTTCCAGTCAGTAAACAAGTAAACAAAAAATTTGATATAATAACTTATTTGTTCGGCTGATGAAACTATCGTTGAAAATGTATTATTAGTGAAATTACTGCTCTGAAAAAGATGTCATAGTAAAACTTTTGTTATAAAAAGCAAAAAGTTATGAAAATGTGTTGCTCTAATCGGTTTTTTGTTGTTTACCTAATACTGGTAATAGCTGATTATGCTATTATTGTTTAGTTTAGAATTTCATAAAATTTTTTCCAAAAAGATTTTTTTTACTGTAATGGCTATTTTGCTTATTATTCTAGTGCTCAAGACATGGCCAAAAAAATTTTTAATAAAGTGTATACTTTGTTATGCAAATCTACACCACCAAGCCTTTGCAAAAGCCTATTTTATCTTTTTTTGGAATTTTAAATTTAAATGCAGTTAAATTCACCTTCTATAAAAAGCGACTGTCAAATAGGTATTATTTTTTAAATCAGTAACAGTAGAGTATTTTTAAAGTTGCAAATATATAATTTATTTGACTATTAGGTGGCACAAAATTTATGAGTCAAATGTGTAAACTGCAACGCAAAGAATACGAGAAGAAAGTGTAAAAGATTATGCACAACTAAATGACCATCTAAGAAATTATACTTTGAAAGCTGAGACAAAACATACAATTTTACCACTTTAAAATATTGTAGCTTTAAAAGAAACTTAACTAGGTAAAAGTTTGTTTGAAATAAAGCTTTATACTCACTAAGACTGTGTTATCTTTGATTGAATAGGGAAAGCTTTCATCGTGAAAGGGTATAGTTGTTAAAGACACAAACTGCGGTTCCCAGTCTTTTTTAGTGTACCTGAAACGAATTTGCGGCTTACGCTTCAAAACTGTCTACGAAGAATTGAAACGTTAAACTTGGAATGAAACTTTACTATAAAATGTCTAAATTGGTTAAATTTTTTAGAATGAAAATTAAAAATAGAGTTCTGACAGCAACATCCTGTTCTGTTTCGAGCAATTATTTTGAAGAAAAAAATTTTGGTAGCACAAAATATCCTACAATTAAGCCTGCTCGTTTCTACAAATTTTTTGCGCTACTCTCTTTCATCTTTCTTTATCTGCAGACTTTTTTATCGAAACATTATGAAAAGAGGAACAGCAGAACAACGTTTGCAGCTTTCTGTTGAAGAATTTAATTTTAACTGTAATTTCGCATTGTGTTCAAAGGTTGTGTTGCTAAAACGGTAAAATACTTCAAAAAAATTTTGCTCGTCAATATTGAACGATTTCAGCTTTACAATTATTGGTCAATACATACCGCACTACACGATCTATGGAAGGTTTATTTTCAGAAACCTCTTTTTCAAGCCATTCATTTAATCCAACGATTGAATGAGCTGTCTTAAAATAACGATTATGGAATTCAACAGCTTTACCCTTTTTCAGTAGAATCGCAAGACTTTTTTTGTCTCTAGGTAAACTGAAAATTTACAAAACTTTTTAAATATTTTATAAAATAAATATTTTAAGTATAAAATAAATATTTTAAAACAATTTAAATTTTATCTCGTTAAGAAATTTAGAGGTTAAAACAATTTCTTTATTCAAAAAGTATAAAGACAAAACTGTTTAATTGTCTTATCCACTTCAAATATTCTAAAAACGAGCACTGTTTTTGGATTCTTCTTTGTTTCGACTTCGGCTACGGTGACCATCTGTTGTTCAAAATTTTTTGAAAATATAAACTCGTAGTCTCCTAGCAGAATATATTTCGTCGTTACCATCTAAATTAGAGAAAGAAATTTTATTTTTGAAACTCAAAAACTTTCTTTTTAACTATTCGTCTTATAGAAATTTTAACATTGGCATGCAAAAGGTTTAGCGTCTCCAACCGAATGCCTTGTGGTGGTTACGAACCGTTGCCTTGGTTGCTGCTGCTACAAAACTTTCAGTGGCCTATCCTTTGCAAGGCTGTCGCAAAACAGTTTGTAAAGTATAAGGAAAAGAAGCAAGCAATTCCGATTTTTCAATGTATTATTTCTACATCACAGATTTCGACAACGATTAGGGCCATCTTATCAAATAAAATAAATTTAAAATCACTCTCTTCTTTTCAAAAGCAAAGTGTAGAACAGAAGTAGTCTCTCATATGTAAGAGAAAAATTTACTAGCAAATTTCAGGTACAAAATGGTTTTCCGTTTATTTTTCCCTTTTTTTCCGTTTTTCGTTTTGCTTAGCTGTCTTTCTTTTTTGATTTCAAACGAATTTCTTGCTTTTTTTACTTTCTAAAATCAAGTAGGTGTCAGGCAAGCTAGTATAGTTGACTGATCCAATGAAACATATTATTAGATTTTTAAGACAGTCTCTTCTAAGATGGAAAACACAACCAGTGTTTAAATTGTGATTAAATTTAACTCTTCTGAGATAGATAAATTTTTAAAATTTTATAGGTCATTTTGTTGTCTATAGATTTTTTTGCAAACAGTGTTTGAAATAATTGTTCCGCTCAAGAACCTGTAAAAGTAACTGTATAATTAGACAGTAAGCAAAATAAAGAGAAAAAAAAACACTTTCTGGTTCACTGCTATTGCTTGACATAAGTAAAAAATGATGTACTTCTTTACCTATAGACAGAGAGTTTAGCTTCTTCTGATTATACTAGGGAAACTAACTGGTAGGTTGATCTTGTCTGTGATTAAATTAAAAGTTTGCTTTCAGGATTTCTAACCAATACTATTTTAATACTAGCTGCTAGAAGCGAAAGCCCGTCAGAAAACTTAGATGTTTCAGAATATTAAGATTTTAGCTGAACGTAGAAGATAGGTAACAGTAACTGTTAACGTGTTCAAAAAAAAAAAAAAATGAAAAAAGAACCATTCGAGCTACATTTCTCGCCACATTAGCTGGATAAATATAGGGATACGTCAGCTTTTGCAGTGGACGTGGACCGACTGGATCAGTGCAATCAGTGTTTGATTTGTAAATGAAATGTGCGGAAACTTTGGGGAACAAATCAGACTCGTATTCCATTAACTAAAAAATTCTTCACCTCAATTAGCAAAATGACAATTATACTATCGTTCTTTCTTAAACTCTTTTTCAATAAAATAAACATAATATATTTTTTCACAGAACTTCCAGTCACAAACTTTTTTCGTAACTTTATGATCAACCGATAATCATTTTAAAGTAAATGAAGCAGTGAATTAGATAGAGTTTGTACTGCTTTTGATTTTTAACGCACTAAAATGATCTAATTGATTAGAAGAAATCGGCGATTGATAATGTGATAAACTACAAACATCTCAAAAGTTTTGTTTGAATAAAATAACCTTTTTTTCTGCATGATACATGGCGCTTAAAGTATTCTTTTCTGGAAGTACAACTGATAATGAAATTGGGCCATCCCATGCTTTGGCCTGTAATTAAATTACAGGCATTAGTTGAAACCTGGAACCAGAGACTGAGCGTGATATCATTAAACAGTTTTGGCATCCTGAACAGTTTTTAGGTTTCGTAGAACTGTTAAGATCAGTGAAGAAACACTGGTAACCTGTTCGACAAGCCGGTGATCAAGGTAGTCACTGCTCAAATGTATCACCAACGTTATTCTTTTGTAGTTAACCTCAATGTTTTTCAGTTTTGGAGTCAAAACATTTTCTATCACACAGTATTCCTTGTATCGTCTGACTCTGTAATTATTTTTAAATATCTTTAAGCAAAGGTATCGGTTAGAATACATTTGGGTCACTCATTTAACAGCCGAACATTTTTGACTTCTTAAAAATGGCCTAGTATTCTGATTCAAAATACAAAAAATTTTTTGTAAAAATTATCTTATTATACAGTAGCTAACTGCTGTACCAGTTTTTTGTGGAAATGAAGCTGTTTGTAACAAAGACATTCATGAAACAATTATAACACTATCAGCTCAGCTTTTAACAGAGAATAAAAAAAGAAAAAAAAATTACAGGTTATCCTACAGTTACACTGATTTATAATGACACTTTTTTCAGTGATTAATATAGGTGTATAAATTAATGTTACTTAATACCTTCTCAGTATATTTTTTGATAATAGAGTATTGTAGTAAAAGTAGATGCTAAGTTGTGAAGCAGCGACATTTACTGAATAACAGAATAGCAGTATTGGAAATAAAACTATACAAACAATAAATGACTGTGTAAAACATTTCTTAAATAATCGAATCAGCAGTTGAATACCACTTCTTTTTCGTATCTGACAGATTATTTTTGCTTTCTGCAACATCTAAAATACGAGTAATACAATAAAATAAATTTTAGAGAAAATGAGTGAAAAGCAAAAAAATAAAAAAAAAAAA